CCCAGTTGCAGAGTCTTCTGGACCCCAACCTGGAAGACGAGAGATACTGATTCTACCTAAGCGTCCTGTGCATTTCTTTATGCCTCGCTTCCACACGGTTTCGTTCAACCTGGAGCCGCAACTGTGAATAAGGCACGGTGCGGCAGACGATGGCTAAGCATGCGCAATACGTGTCCTAACCAGCAAAGCTGACTAATCTGAATTCGATGGGACAACGAATTCTCCATCGAATCTTTACCAAATACGCGACGCCTTACCTCAGAGTTGCTTACAAGATCGCTTCATCCAACCCGCGTCAAACTACGTAAAAATCGACAGCCGAACACTTATAGACGACGAATATCTTCCACGTGCAAATTTAGGGTCTCGCAACCATATAGCAGAACTGTCCACACACTAGCGCAGTATAAACGACCTTTCAGTTTCAACAAAACATTGCGTATGCACCAAAAGTGTTTCAGTCCTGCGTAAGCTGATCGAGCCTTGGAAATGCGGGAGGTTACTTCACTGGCTATGCTACCGTCATATGTAACACAGCTACCTAAGTAGGTGAAACATTCAACAACAGCTAATTCTTTACCATCAAGCATCAGCGCTCGGGTAGACGACACCCAGTCTTGTAGCAACACTTTGCACTTTGAGGGTGCAAAGCGAATACCGAACGGAGTGACAGAACTTGAAAGTCTGTGAAGAGCGCTTTGCGCATCCTTCATACATTCGAACAGTCATACGATGTCGTCAGCGTACTCTAAATCGCACAGCTTTTCTCCAACTGCCCATTCAATACCTACATTTTGGAGAATACTTAGTGTGTTCTCTAGTATTTTGTCTAGGACGAAATTGAGCAGGAATGGCGAAATAGGGCACCCTTGATAAACACCGCTCCTGGTTTCGAACGAATTACTTAGCCCACCGTAGACCCTTACGCTACCAGAAGTATGCAGGTACGACGACCGCAATAGGTTCACATACTTCTGCGGCATCCCTTTGCGAAGCAGCGACCCCATACGAGCTTCACGGTCAACTGAATCGAAGGCTCCTTTTAGGTCAAGGAAGACCGTGATTATTGATCGACGATGTGTGACGCAATTCGAGAATTGGAAGCAAAGTGAATATTCGGTCGATGCAACCGCGACCTGGACGGAATCAGGCTTGCTGTTCGCGGATATTTATCTCCCTTAAGGGTGTCAGGCGACAAACTATCACAGAAGTCAACACTTTTGTGATTATTGGGACTAAACTAATCCCACGGTGGTTAGCGAAGTCGTTGTGTGATCCCTTCTTTAAGATTGGGACGATCAACGATTCATCCCAGGACAAAGGGATACGCTCCTCCGACCAAATGCTGCGAAGCTGGTAATTGAGTCGACAAGAGAATCTCCGCCCACCTTGCAAAGAATAGGGAGAAGCCCACAGCCTTCCCGTTCTTTAGTGATTGAATGCAGCTTCGTACTTCCGATTCTGATAGGGGCTCACAGGTAACTAGCACATGGGGTTTCCGCCGCACCTGATGGAATGACCGCATCAGCACTTGGCAGACTGAACTGTTCGCTAAAATACTCTGCCTAGCGATCAAGTCATTGTTCCATATTGTAGATACCTTGTCCATTTTTATCGTAAATGGTCTCACTGACCGGTACGCGACGACCTCCGGTGCTGCGTATCAGGTGAAATAGTCGTTGATTATTCCCTGATGCAGAAGCTACCTCCACTAGCTATTTTAGCCCACCAATTTTCGCGATCTTTCTTAAGGCTTTTCTTGAGTTGACGTTGTAGGCGACACCGGTCCTTATACTGATCCGCTTTTGATCCATCAGGATTACTGACTTCTGGGAGGTTCAATGCCTTCGGCGAGCTTCGGGCTTGGTCTCACAAGCAAAGTTTGCCGCTGGGTGCATCGCACATCTGATTCCATTGTTGGTCTATTCCACCATGTCGCTGTTCTCCTAGCTCCTGTCCCAACTTCTCCTCATAACGTGCGCAGACAGCTGGATCGCGCAGATGATGATAAGCTAACTGAGGAGGCGATTTCTGCCGATGACCAACGAGTCGAAGAGCGAAGCATAACAGAAATATTGCATGGTCCCACTCAACGCAGGTGGACCAATAGGATCTGCAATTTTTTACTGGGCCACACCAACGGTAGCTTACAGCTATGTGGTCAATTTGGGTTAATGTGCCCGTTGAACTAGAACACCATGTAGCCGGCTGACGAGAGCTGTGTCGAAAGTTAGTGCTAGATAAGAATAGCCGGTGATCCGCGCAGAACTGGAGTAGTCGATCACCGTTGTCTGTTCGCTGGGCGGGGAGGGCGAAGTACCCTCCTAGACAGGCTTCGGATGCGCTCTGCTTTCCAACCTATGCGTTAAAATTACTTGCCATCACTATAATATCAGAGCTGCGGCTCAACCGAATGAGTTCAGCGAGTTTATTGAAGGCCCCCAGATTAAGTGGCTGACGA